GGAACACTTGCAGCTTTGCAAGTTGGCGACGCTCACGGAGGAGATTGACATATTCGCTTAGGTCCTGAGAAGGATCGCATTGCGGTGTTTCGGTTGCTTTCTGTTGTTGCTGTTGTTGTTGCGACTCATATGCATTTTGCTTCTCTACAACTGCTTGATATTCCCTTCTCGCAGCAACGTTGGCTTGTAAAGCTTCCAAGTATTGCCTCCGCAGTCCAGTAATCTCCGGTGGAATGGACTTCACGCCGACAACTGCGTCATGAGGTACAGAAAGGGTGAGGTGCGAGTTGGCATTGAGTTCGGGGTTGTCGGGGTCGTTCTCCGCGAAGATGATGTGCGAGCGAACATAGGCAGTCAAGGCTTGGCGGATACGGAAGGCCTCCTGGCGGCTTTTGAGGTAAGGGGCAAGTGGTGCGGCGAATTCAGGAATAGGCTCACTTGAGGGTGGTGCGAAGCGGTCTTCCATTTGGGTCCAGGCATGTGGGGGAGTGATGGGTAGGAAAAGACACTGGATGATGCTAGTGGTGATCTAATGTGCGGGTTGTTTGTGGAGAGCTGGGACCGAGGGATTGGGGACGCACTGGAGTTGTGCCCGCTTTTTGAAGTCGGCCCGATACAGTGCCGCACCGCCGCACCACCGTGGCTCTGGCGGCGGCCCCGCAATGTTCACAGCAGGGGAAACACAACACCATATCTCAACGCTGCAGACAGCAACTTCATCAACAATTACGACACATAGCCTTCAGGGAAACGATTGAGTGAACAATCTCTTTGTAACAATCCCCGAACCTACGGACAAAAATGGCAGGATTCAAATCACGGTTTTCTTGCGGTATTGCAGACATATATTATGTAGGCAGAGGGAGGGGGAGGTGAGGACGTCGGAAATGAGAGGGGGGGGGTTTATACTCTACCGAATTTCCCGATATGGGAAGAACCGACCGGTCGCCATCACCAGCAGCATTCATGCCTCAAATTCTGCAGCACTAAGACAACATCATGCCCCCGGCTTCAGACCCGAGGCTCTTTGCTATGCTATTTCACCTCAGGGCAGCTTCTACTACGTCCTGTGGCCTCCGACCATTAGGCCTGGTACTTATGCATGTCAATTACGAGGGGGAAAAATAAGTACCATACCAGATACCAGATTGCGCATGCAGGAAGAGCTGCACTCGTGAATGGACTCTTGGGGCGCAATGACCCCTCTAGCATAAACAGCCAGGCTACTTAAGATATCAGTCTTAACCAACCGACCGGTAACTTATGGCACTCGCCTCACTAGGCGGTAGGTACAATTTAATGTACAGTACTTTACGTATAGATCCTGCTCGCTAAACGCGCTTGAGCCCAGCTGAATGAGACTCTTACTGCTACTAGTCCCACCTAGTCGTGTTCGTAAGGGGGTGATTCCCCCCCCCCGCCCCCCCCCCGGTTATCGTCATAATACTAGTAGCAAGATGGGTGATGTGACAGCACAGACTGGGTGCCTTAAGTGGGCCTCGGGTCTGTTAGTCGAACCAGGTATGCATGTGGGGGGCCAGGGGACTTTTGGTGGATATGAAGTATCCAGGATCCATTCAGCTTTCGTAGAACAAGGGACATGCAAAAGAGCGATATACATATGCACCATTCTAATGATCAACCAGTTCGATACACAAGATGTTCAAGGTTGATGATGGTCGAGTAATAAATAAGGTAGGCTTGTGTGGTGGTGCATTGCGTGGACACCCGGCTAGGATCGATGACCATTGGATGGTGATAGAAATTGATCCATGTCCATAAGTATCACCGCTGATCAATAGCGACCATAGTCTGATGTATTGTAACTTAAGTTAAGTTACCTTTTGCTCTAAAGTACTGTACAACATACCTGTACCCGTAAAAACTTTTGGAGATGTCAAAACAATGAACAAGAAATAAATCAACAATGGAACCATGATTCTAACCAGTTAAGCGGCATGAGACAGGTTCCATGCAATCCGAACAACTCGTCTTGTCCACATCAGCTGAAAGATTCTGGTTGCAAATCAACGGTGGTCCGGGGTGTGGAATGTTTCAAAGGTCCAATCAAGGGGCTGCTATCCTGCAGGTTGGCACTTTTGGCCAAAGCAATCTAAACAAGTGAATCGTTGTCCGCCGCTACCAACTTACCATATTTACTTCTCTCATCTGCGGATAAAGCCTCTCTCCTCATCGCACTCCACTTATCAACAGACTCCCAGAAAACTATCCGGGTTCCCTTTTGTCTTTCTGTTCTCCTGTCTCTCTTTTTCTTCTTGATTTGTCCCCACTAAAGTCCCTTTCGTATCGCTCATTCTACATCGATTCAAGTCACTCCGATCATGACCATAGAATCAAGCTCTGTCGCTATATCTACGCCCAGATCCCGGCCCCGTGCTGCAACGACAGTGCAACCAGCTCCCACCTTTCCCTCGTCCCGTTCTTCCCGACGCTCTTCACAAGTCATGGCCCCTCTTACGCTCTTGCCTACTCTCAACGCCTCAGCAGCAAGCCCGATGCCGGGCGCTGGGGATCAAGAGACTTCACGGGCAGCCGCAGTGTCTGGTAAGTCGGGAATACCCAAACAAAGAAAAATCAATTGTCAAGGAGCCTCGAATTAAGCGAAAGGCAGGCCCGCTACGTCATCCCAAACCGCTGACCCCCTCCGATATCCATTCGATGTTGGAGCAAGAGCAAGAAGCAATGGTATGAAGCTCGGCGTCTTGTGCAAATCCTCTAGATACTGACCCCGCTTGTTACCATAGGTTAATCGGCTATCGAGAGAACTCTCTCTTCTTCGCCAACAAACAGCCTCGGTCGCATCGACAACATCATCTACATCGACTACACTCAACGATCCTATGGACTCTCTACACGCCTCCCAGTATGCCATCAGCTCCACGGTTCCGACGACTTCGCGCCGACATCGCTCCTCTTCCAGCCTCAGTTCTTCCTACATCCCCGCGGTTCAAGGGTCGCGGACGGGCAGCGGGTTCGGAATCGCACCGTCGAGGGAGACACAGCTACCGTCGACCCGCACGGACTCGGCGCGCTCGGGGAGGAGTCGAGAGCCGTCGCTCACTTCTCGGCAATCGGACGCAGCATTGTCACAGCATCACTTGCCGTCGACCGATCAGCTTTCACCCTCCATAGGAGGTTTCCCTCACCGGAACTCGATCACTCAGCAGAAGAGCCCGGTTATCCCTCCCTCCCGACACGAGGAGCTCCTAGCCCAGCGGGAAGAGGTAGATATGCTGAAGCGGGAGAATGAGACTTTACGTCGCCGTGTGCGGGAACTAGAGCTGATTGTTCGAAATTCTCGAGAACAGGAGCGTGCTACAGACCACTCCACTCCTGATCCAGCGCGTTCCGGCGGAGAACAGGGGAGGGAGATACTAGATTCCGAGAATTGAAGCAATCTCGCTTCTGGTGGTATGACTCGGTCTTTCCATGCTGGAGTTTCCAAGAATAGTGTTCTTCATTCAGCTGGCCAGGTGCTCAATCATCAATCCAATAGATTATTCTTCTCAGGCGTACGTGGCTTTGGGGATTGGAATCCTAGAACTTCTCCCTCGTTTCTTCTCGTTTTGCCGTAGGTAAAGTCTCGAAGGAGTTGAGTCGGGCAAAAATTGTACTGCAGGTACTCATAGTATCCCAAAACCTACCCGATCTATCCACGATGGATCCACATTCGTTGAGTTTGAGTTCAATTGGCCAGGGACCCACTACTTTGTTCCTATGGGCTTATTGCTATTGGAGGGACGTCTGTCATCCGGCTGTGAGGCATTGAGTGTCCACGGTGAACTCCCAACGTGCTGTACCAGTAAACTCAGTGATAGGGACGGAGGGGTACTTACAATTCCATACTCTTCGGATCCAGGAGAAGCCTTAAGCTAGACTCACTCACAGCCCGTAATACAAGTAGCTCGACATGATGGAACACCACCACTGTTCGCTGGACAAGCATGGAGCCGTGACTTGTGGTTCGATCATATGTAAAACCTACCAAGGACGTCGCCCTCAGTATGTGTCCTGCCATTTATCTTCCCAAGAGTCAAAGGCAGCTACCACGAGGTGAAATTCTTCAGCACCAGCGGAGGCTAGCCGTTGATCCCTATTTAGATCTATACTCTGGATGCTCCTTTCATGGAAGACAAGGACCCAACCATATAACCTATTCTGCTAACCTTCTATTCTCCCTTCGTAGTCCTGAGGCTGATACTGCTTTGCATGTTTTGATCTCTCCTTTGGAAAATCAAATCTATATCATGGGATGGATATATACAGAATATCAAGCTCCGAGCATCGCAGCGGTGTCTGACCCGGGATCTGAACCCGGGATCTTCTCTATCAATAACTTTTAACAAAGGCTGATTAACTAATTCTACTTATCAAAGTATGCCAGGAGACTGCCCCACAAGCCACCCGGCTGAGGAAAGACCTTGATACAGAAGTCTTCAGGTAATACTGGAGTACCAAGTAGCGTGCAAGATGTGCTGTTTTCAAGACCTTCGATTTCTTGTTTGAGATGATTGCGGATCAAAGGGTTCCGCACCTGATAGGGGATTCTTCAGCCTTATCTCAACATATCTGAATAGACTTATGGTGCAAGTCTTAGAGCAGAGTCTCCTCAAGGAGAGAAGCTTATATCTGTCTTGATATGATTTACGTAACTTTCTACTAGATGCATTGGTACTCGAGATAGTGTTCTTGGCTGAGCAAGATGTGTGAAGGCAAGCTGATCCTTAGGACTGGGGCAATTGTCCTCAACTTGAGTTGTATAACTTACAATGTTTAAACAAGCTCCTGGCGGTCTCCCAGCCGAGTCCATCATCACTACCTCTGCAAGAATTTTTCTCACGCCTGGAACTCTCTCAATGAAATTCGATCTAGGTCTAGTCGCCTTGACGGCATTGGCCGCCGGTTCCACCGCGCTGCCAAATGGCAGAGTCCGCCAACGAAGAAGCCTAAGTGACCAGGCCAGTCTTCTGACCACGATCATGCCCAGTAACCAGACTGTGGCGGAGATCGTCGCGGGTTGGGACCTCGAGAACCTGACTGTGGCGGCGGTGCGCGTACCACCGGTCAACTGGCCCCTTCCCATGATGAACAAGGATTGGGATGGGGTCAAACTTGACCTGAACGGCACCATCGAGCTGGGGATCCGTCTGATCCAACAGGCCGCTGCGGCGAATGCCCGTGTCATTCACTTCCCGGAGGTTTGGTTCCCCGGTTATCCTAAGGTTAGTTGAGATAGAGACCAGTCTACACTTGTCTCCCTCACATCTGATGGGATGGGCTGACGTTCCGCCAGGGTATTATCAACTCCGATGTCCCGAACCCCTGGTTCGAATATCACGTCAAAGATTATATCGAGAACTCCTTGGTGATCGGCAGCGACAACTGGAACAAATTGGTGCAGGCGGCGGTTGATAATCGCATCTACGTGGTAAGCTCCGAGTTCTCCTTTCACTTTGTCTCCACTCCCGGTGTCAGCAGACTCTGACCCTTGTGCCAATCTGATAGGGACTCTCATTCTCCGAGAAAGATGCCGCCCATCTGTACATGGCGCAGTCTCTAATCGCCCCCGACGGTGAGATCCTCATTCACTGACACAAGCTGCGGCCCTCGGCCCAGGAGCGCGACCTCTGGACGGACGGCAAACTCGACCAGATCTACGCGGTCAGCACCCCCATCGGCCGCATCGGCATGCTCTCGTGCGGCGAGCATACTGCTCCCGAGGTCACCTTTATCATGCAGTCGCAGACTGAAGACATCCATCTTGGCTCGTGGCCGTAAGTTCTCTCTCATATCCCAATTTGCCCCGTCCACCTTCCTTGTACCCAGTTGTTAACTTTTGTGGACGGGGAAAGTCTCGTCCCGGATTTCGGCGATTCCAGCCTGACCTACGAGTCGGCTGAGGTTATCACGTCCTTGGGCCGGGTTTACGCAATCCTGGGGGAGGCGATTGTGGTGCAGGCGGCCATCGGTACAGCCACCATCTTCCCTGCAGGGTCTTCGGCAGTCTGGTCCCAGGCTGTGGCCAACGTTTCCTTCGCCGACCATCCGCTCGTCTACCGCTCGTTCAACGCAAGTGCCTTTACGAATTCAACTTATAACGCTGATGGGGAGGTCTCGTGGGGCACCCTGCAGGCCATCAATGAGGGGTTTCCTGAGTATATTCCGCAGGTCGAGGGTACGTTGGTGCCCTGGAAGCAGGATCCCATTTCCACCTTGCTCAATGAGTCTGTCGTTTGATGGTTCAAGCTTCGCGAGTGATGGGTTACGCTTATGCAATGTATGATGATGGAAAGGAAAGACGGGGGTTTTTTGTCGTCTGAATGTAGAAATTAGTTCTATAGGCTCTAATGCAATTAGAATAGAGCATCATAAGAGAGCATCTCCATGAAAAAATAGCAACTTCCTTCCAGGGAAGTCCTACAATCATAGAATAAGCCCCTCAATGCTTCGGATAATGACATTTGACGACCCACCTATAAGGCATGGCTCAGATGCATAGGCAGGGAGGGCCCAGACTACTGACTACCGATACGCAATCTGCCGGAGAGCATCAATCGCCCGGTATGCCTTGAGCGGCCAGAAATTCTGCATATCTTCCAACGCTGCTAAACATTCTCTGAGGTCGTTGCAAGGTCTGCGTCCCGCCCCCTGCTTCACAGCTAGGAAAGATGGCTCTCCTACCGCCCCAATCGTGAGTTTCCATGTCATGAATATAAGTTCATCAAAAGTCGACCGTGTACCCAGATCCAAGGCAGAAGACGTCCGAGCATCTTCTGCTGCTTGATCCCATTCACCGAATGCGGTGTCTGTAGCCACCACCTCGTCCAAGCCTCCTCGATTAGGACTATCGAGGAATGCAGTAATTGATCTACTATCGTGTCGCGCAGGAGCTGCTGCTGCTGTAAAGACGTCGATCTTTCTTTTCAATTCGGCATTCTCACGTACGAGAGTCCCCACATAATCCTTGTCGACAAAGACACGTCTGGTCCAGCCAAAGTCCGTCGTTAGCTTCCAGAGTCCATTTAACCTGGAATGTCACACACTCGTATTTATCATGTCCTTACTTCCTTCGTAACGGTCATTCAAAGTAGTAGCCCTCTCAGTCAAGTCTCAAACAAAGACTACATGCCGATTGCGCTCCATCGCACTATATCCTCGCCCACAAGCCTCCGCATCATAAGGAATAGTGTAACATGAGTGTTGTATAGTGAAGTTGTCTCTTTACCTCTGAGTGGTCAGATGTACAGTACTTACGGTCTCATTGCCAAGCTAGGACGAATTGGGCACGGAATAGTTTCTCTCCCACGTTCCGAATCGCATAGTGTACCTATCGATTCAAAGATTCTTCTGGTGGAAAGAGAACCTGCTTGAGGGGATCCCAAGGATAATCAGTTATCAGTTAGGTACTTGTATTTATCAACCCTCTTCCACGTCTAACAGTAGTTACTATCACAGTCCTGAAATCAGTCATTATGAATGTGTGTACGTATAATAGTAGCTAGCTATATATAGGAGAAATAGGAGAGATAGGAGAGAAAGATGGTTTCACATGTGGGTCCAGCGTGGCTGTGCGGGGTCGCTGCCTGCTGCTGCCCCTCGCGCGACGTCATTTGTGGCGTAGTGCCGCCCGCTCTTCCCCCCAAATAAATACCAACCACCAGCTCCTCCTCTCTCCTTTCCAGTTCCCATCAACACTACACTGACTCTGATTTACTCGTATCACTCAACCGAGATTATACCCGACAGATACTCTCTCAATTCTACGTACCTCTACTTCAATCACACCCATCATGTCTGAGCGCTCTACTGTTCACGTCGAGGGCATCGCCCCCGCTACTACGGATAAGGAGGTCCAAGACTTCTTTAGCTTCTGGTCAGTGACGCAGGCATTCCAGGCCCTTGCATGTCTTGTCTAGACATGCAGCTGACAACATTGCAGTGGAAAGATCACTTCTATTTCTGTTACCCCTGTGTCTGGTGAAGAAGGTGCCCAGAAGTCGGCCACTGTGACCTTCGAGAAGGAAGCGTAAGCCTTGCCCCGCACCTGCTCCCCCATCCCGCCCATGGCTCAAATTGCACCATCCCTTAGCTTAGCTGCTCTTCCCCCCACCCCCTCTCATGACATAACTAACCCGTCATCTAGTGCCGCAAAGACCGCTCTGCTCCTTGACCACACCCAATTGGGTACCTCGGTCGTTCACGTCAAGGCCGCCCACTCTCTCGATGATATCGCCGGTGACCACGCTGCCAGCGCCTCCGAGGCCAAGGACGAGCACGACCATGACCTCGAGCAGGAGGACAAGCCTCGCTCCCGCATCGTCGCCGAGTATCTGGCCCAGGGATACGTGCTGAGTGACAACGCCATCCAGAAGGCTATCGCTCTGGACCAGAAGCACGGCTTCACCTCCCGCTTCACCAACGCCCTGGCCAACTTCGACAAGAAGTACAACGCGACCGACAAGGCCAAGGGTCTGGACGAGAACTACAAGATCACCGAGAAGGCGAGCTCTGGCTGGCGCGGTCTCCACAGCTATTTCGAGAAGGCTCTCGAGACCCCCTCCGGCCGCAAGCTCCGCGAGTTCTATTCCCAGACCGACAAGCAGGTCCGCGACATCCACAACGAGGCTCGCAGACTGGCAGACTTGAAGAGCGGCAAGAGCGAGGGTGACGAGCAGAACGTCAGTGCCGCCCCTACCGCTGGCGCTGGCGCCGAGGGTGTGGGTGCCGCCCCTGCTACTGCTGCGGCTCAGTCCTCTGGCACTGCCCCCTCTGCCGACCAGAAGGCATGAATCTGAAAACCCCTTGAACTTGCAAGTGGGAGACCTTACGAGGTCTAACCCCTTCTTTTCTGTTTTGTACGCCTAATGACGACCTGTTCATTCACATGCTTGAATTTGCACGTTCTCGATGTTCATAATATTATCTCGGCGCGCGTCTTAGCTAGTTAGTTGTCTGGAACAAGCGATTGTGTGTATAGTCTACATCTAATTGAATTATGGTGGTTTAATCTTGAAGCTACTGTCCGTTCCGCCCAGTACGTGGGATATCAGCCTTACTTCGTATGCGAATACTCAAAACAAGTGCAACAGCCCGCATGTTATGTTTACATTTATTGCTTATTCTAATCTACTTTTATTTAAAGATGTCTCCATATCTCACTCTAACAGACCACTCAAAACCACGTAGGAACAAACCCAACTACACCAGATAAACAGTTACTACAATCAAAAACTACAACCCATGAAAAGTTAATCTCAGATGATGAAAGTCTTCATTTCATTTCTCGCTTCAAATCATTAAACTAAAAAAAGAGATTGTTTCGTCACGGAACATAGATCTCAACCAATTCAGCTGCCCTTGCTGAACTTGGCAGACTCGATATCCTCCAAGGGATGCTTGGGGTTGCTGCTCAGCGACGACTTGGTGTTCTCGGACTGCTCCTGGGCGGCCTGGCCGGGGCGGGTCTCGTAGGTCTGGCCGGTCTGGCCCTGGGACGGGGGCGATTGCTGCTGCGCGCCGGTCTGGGATTCGGGAGGAGGGGATTGGCGGCCGGAGTTGGGGGCAGACATTTTTGATGATGGTTGGATTTTTGGGGGACGTAGGAGAGGAGAGTTTGGGTTTCTGAGCATTGCGGGGAATTGTTAGTTGAGAAGGGGTTCTTCATGATTCGTCGATTCTGTGAGATGGAGATGAGACGAACCTTGGTGGTGGACTGGATTGGATTGGATTCTTTCAGAGAGTCGGGGTGTTTGTTGCAGGTCAGGTCGGGGTTGCGAATTGGGTGGTGGAAAGTTCTTAAGTACTGCCCGTATGCTTATGCTAGCTAAGCTAAGGGATTTACTGACTATGATATCGTCGAGGGGGACGGGAAAAGGTGGGTGGCCGGTTTTTCTCAGCCGGCATCATCATGACGTTTTTGGCGGGCTCTTCACCTCTCTGATGTTTGCAGTGGGGGAAGGGGTGTATTCAGTGAGTTTCCACCCTCCCAGTAATGTGATCTAGTGGGCTTGGTGAGGAGGTTTCAAATTGGCTATAGTGGTTAGTGGACAGGAGTACTGTACTCCTAGCTCCTGTTTGTTGATAGCTGGCTTCACCGGCGAGCGTGGTTTTGCTGTACCTTGACTATACTTACGAGTAGTTACTGTTGCTGCTGGAAAATTAGTAGTGATGTCATAGGCGAGTGGGTGGGGATTTGCTATGTTTGTCTTAGGCACGTGATCAGGAGCTGTGCGAACAAGTACTCGTAGATCGTAGTAAATGCCAAATCTCATTCCAAATGGACAGATATGGTCTAAAGAAGGGTTTCGATATTCGCCATAGACCACGCACTTTCTGTATCAGAACAAATATAGAGAATTAGGCGATGCCAAAATCAGCATCTTCGCTGGTTTCTATTATCTTTTGGGCTCTGTTTGACTGCTGTTGTCCTCCAAAGATGGAGACTGGATATAAGAATGCATTTTGAGGTCGTGACCGACGTAATCATAAGTCAATTGACAAGGATTCATCTGGGGGAATCGGACATCGGAGCTTTGAGTCATCACTGAGGTCAAGACCGATGAATAAGGGGACTTTTAGGAGAACCAGAGCAAATCAAATACAGGTCATTGTAACCTTGAGCACGCAGGGGATGGAAAGGGATATGATCTAGGCAACAAAGGAAAGGAGAATCAAAACACAATCAGAAGAGGCATATATGGCGTGGTGGCGTATCCAGCTGAGGCCGTTCGACTGTATTGGGTGTCGAAGTGGCCCGGAAGAAACATAGATGGCTTGTCAAAACAGTCCTCCAACCTGGGATGGCACTTTTCTTTTGCATAAGTTTGTTTTTTTTTTCGAGTCATGTCATTGCCTTAGGAATCCAGAAGGACCGACTGGTTCATTTCGTCAGTCCCCGGAGTGGATTGCAGTATGAATCAGTTTCCATTAGCCTGGGCGCCTGCAGCTTCGGCATTTGCCGCAGCCAACGCCTTCGCATCGGCTTCGTGGAAAACGGCTTGAAGCACCTGCTGCTCCTCCGGGCTCAGGATCTTTGTGAGGTTGTCGTAGAGTTGCGGCTGTTCTTGTTGAAGGCCTGTGTTGTGAAGTTAGTCAATAGTACAGCGTGACACCAAGGGGCTACATACTCAAGAACACATGCTTGAACATGCCGTAAGGCTCAACCTTGTCAAGAGGAGTCTCCAGCAAGCTTCCTTCGTCCAGCTCATCATCGTCATCATCGGCAAATGAGCCGAACTTTTGAGCCTACCGATGTGATTAGTATCCCCATCGAGATATTAAGACGACAAAAGACTCAAGTCTCCTGGACTCACCTCCTTGTTCAAGAAATCGAGGTAAGCAGTGGTCTCGTCGGCAACGTCATCTTCCAGAACGCCTTCGGCTTCATCCCGCTCAGTCCACTCAACCTCTCCATCCCAGTCGTTCTCCTCGTCATCGACGTCATCTTCGTCATCATATGTGAAATCGGACTCCTTGGTGGCATCTTCACGGTCTAAATGGGTATTAGCGTACTTGATCTCGCGCCATCATTCTGTTGTAGACTTACTCTTGATAGCAGCAGGCAGGGTTTGGAAGAGTCGGGTCACTCCTTGGAGAAGTCTAGGCCAACCTTGTTGAACGCTGGTCGGGACATCGCCAGCCTTCAGGGTCAATAGGGAGCTGATTGCTGCGATCGACAGCTTCTTGTCATGCACCCGTCTGAAATTGTCGATGTTAGAGAACCATGTGCTGAAGAACTTGTTCGTCCAGCCATTGGCTTCCAGCACCTGTAAGCTGAGAACAGGGTTGTAGTAGATGGCGTTAATGACCATCTCCATCAAGTGAATGCGGTACGACTTGGTGCGCGCCTCGCCGGCGTCAATGACACGCATCGCGAGCTCGATAAAGACAGGGATGTACTGATCAATAAAGCCACGCAGGTTGAGCATCAAAGTCTCGGCGAGCTTGCAGCCGCAAATCCGGTCAACACCGCCCACTTTCTCATCGTGGAAGATATCCTGAACCATACCCACAACGGCCGCCAGGTAAGCGGGGTTCTGGACCAGCATTTGAGAGCCGTAGGCGATATAGTTGTCGAGAGCAGGGAGCATGTCCTCAAGATAAAGCTCAGCTCCGGCCTTGAAGGTCTTGTGGATGAGCTCAAAGGCCTGCCACATGGTGGGAGAAATCGACTTGGAAGCGAATGTGCAGCTATCAATGATCTCAAAAACTTCGTTGTACAAGTCATATAGCTTGTTCTCAAGAGTGATGCTGATGACAGGCATGAGGATGGTCTCGAGGTGAAGCAGCACATCCGGAGTGCTCTCGAGAGTGAGAATCAAAGTGCCAATCGTCTGCAGGACACCAAGAGCCGTGATACTCTTGTCATCCAGGAAGTCGCCGTAAGCGTCCTCGTCACCCTTGGTGGCATTACGTTCCAGAAGCTCTCCCACAATACGCATGTAGGTGTCGCGAAGCTGCTCGCTGAGTGCCACAGCGAACGGAGTAAGCTCGGCAGAGAAGACCTCGACGAAATCCTCCATGACGTTGGCGAGAGCATCCACATCGACCTCGTTGGCGAGCTTGAGAAGCTGCTGCATGATCTGGGGGATATTTTGCTGCATCGAAGTCCGAATGATGTCGTGACGAATAAGGGGCTGCAAAGCGAGCGCAGCCTCAACCCTGACAGGCAACTCAGGGTCCGTCATGGACTCTAGGATGTTTCTGTAGATGATCATAAGGTTGTTCGGGTCCTGGAAGTCAAGCTGTTCGAACTTCTCCAGAGTATCACATGCACGAGCTCTGAGGAAGCCATGAGGGCTGCGGAATTCTGGGAAAACGTGACGGACAAAGAAGTATTCGACCTCACCAGCGATAGGGCTCTTCTTGCCCAGGATGACAGAGGCCAAAGAACCGATCATCCGCAGAGCACCTTCCTTCTCCCGAGGCGACTTCTGATCTTCCGGAGCAGACTCATACTTGCTAACGACGCCGTTCACAAATGTGAGAATGGCGAAAGTCTGCTTCTTGCGGTTCTTTGTCAAAGCAACCAAGAAATTGGTGGCGGCGACATCAGGCGCCGAAACCTCTTCGTAGTAATTCAACTTCCGGTGGAGGTATTCCGAAGGATCCTCCTGGAATAGCTCGATGTCTTCATCGGACTGGCACAAAATCGGGAAGATGAAATGAGCAACCAAGTTGTCCATATGGGGCTTGAGGTGGTCCCACATCGCCTTCGGCTTGACACATTCCTCCAAGAAAACCAGAGTGTAGGCGAGCGCCGGGTTGCTGAGCCACTGACCCTTGGACACCCACTTGTCAATCTCCTGCAAGTATCCCTTGAGAATCTCGGGGGCGAAGTTGGCAATAAAGTTCTTGGCATATTGGGTATAATCGGGAGTGCTCGACTTCGTCATTGTTGTGGGGTTTCCGTATCTAGACAGCGAGGTCAGGCGAGAGTCCCGTTTCCAGAGCTGTGCTATGCACGTTACGTACCTGATGAAAAGACGGTTCAGATTGGCGTACGACCACTTCTTGCACTTCCACCAGTGGTTCAACTCTCTTTCTTCCTTGGACTCCATCATAGCATTAGCCGGAGGCTGCTTGGCAATGATGCGCAAGAAGAGCGTGCACCAATCCACCGTAGCCTGCTGCGTTTGAAGGGACGGCGAAAGTTCGAACTAGATTCGTCGCAGATGTTAGCTACCGTGATGCGACTGGTGTTCCGCTCCGGTTGACCCACGTAGATAGCATGCTTGTATGACTTGACAACAATCCGGAGCATTTCCGCAGCTTCCAGACTTTCCTCATCAACCAACTTCGATCCGATATTCAGCAGCTGAGGGAACGTGTGTTCAACGATCTTGTCGAATTCTTCCCGCTTCTCTCCCGCCTTGAACCTGTACACGCGGCAGATCGCCAGCAAGCACTGCAGTCCAGCGTAGACCGAGTTCGCATCGTTGGTTCCCAAGAGTTGAAGGGTGATTTCCAGGAAGCCCGGCCACTGCTCGGGGAAGTCATGCTGAAGAATCTTCTGGAGGAGGGGAACAAGCTGTGCTCTGACATTCGGTGGGGTGGACGCCAATGCCGGGATCAGTCGCTCTCGAAAACTCGGTTTTTCCTCCTCCGGGATCGGTGCGCGCAAAGGGCTTTCTTCGACAACAGACCAGCCGCGAGTGATTCGGTTCTTCAGGTAAACACCGGCTATGAATAGAGGTCTACTTGTTAGTCGATGAACTTAGCGCCTAGGATCCCGATGGGAAACAGCGGTAGGTGATCTTTCAGGCAGCAGAATGTCCAGGTACTACCTACCCGACAGTTGGACGGCATTATTTTGTTCCCCCTGCAAAATATCCAGAAGCGCATTTATGAAGCCCGGTTGTGTCTCGGCCTGGACAATACTGAATAAGTATAAACCACCTTCAAGCCTGCGATGCTATGCCACACATACATATTTCAAGTCCAACTCAGCTTGGCGTCTGATATCCGCATTGGCGTCGAGGGTAGACTGTATGCGGTCTCTCAAAGCTGCAACATCCATCTCGCACCAGTGACGGCCCCCGGGTTATAGTTATAAAGCTCGAAAAAGAAAGAAAGGACCCGTTACGTAGTGCTGAGCCACGGGATGAAGGGGGAGAGGAGAGAAGAGAGGGGGGGGGAAGGGAGGATAAAATAGCGGGGGAGTAATGATAGTAAGTGTGCAGATTGCAAAAGTGCTCTTTGGGTTTGTTGGGTTTGGTTTGGTTTTCTCTCGTGGTTTTTCAATAAGCGGTGCCCGCCCCGCGCCTATGGCAGCTAATCAGAGGCCTCGCCGCCACGCGCGGTAAGAGAATTTTGCTCCTGATTCTTGGGGCAGAGATCGAAACTGTAAAAAGTAAAAAAGAAGAAAAAAAACCCCTTCCCTTGGCTGGGTCTGGAGTATTTAATGGTTCGAAAAGAGAACTGGAATTGATTGGGAATTCCTGTCCTGGTTTGATTTACCGAGAAGATCTTAATTACTCTAGTGATTTGCTCACTCATTTCATTCCTAATAAATCATTGAACCGCAATCTCAAACATCATGGGTTTGAAAAATAGACAATTGCCGTCTCCACGGGCACGTGGTTCTCCCTTCCTCTGTTACATCTCACATGTACAGAGACGCGGCAAAGATAACATCTCGCTTGATCAATTCCTGTGCCTGTTGCATCTTGGCATAGAGGTTGGGGTCTCCCACCAGTTTGGCTGCATTCTTCACCTCCCGACAGGTCTCATCCAGACGAGTGATAGTCCGCACAATAGTGCCTTCCATCACGTCAGTGAGATCGGTGATGCGGTTGAACGACATGCCCTTCGCCCATTCGTAGACAACTTCTGATAGCCCAAACCGCGGCTGACTAGCAAAGTCATTGCTGTCCTCACTGGTCTGAATGACCTGGTGCTGGATCTGAATGTCGTTGACCCTGTCTGAGATCTTAACAATCGCCTCCTTCCCTTTCTCAAGACGCGGTGTCAATGTGGGAACATTCTCAGTCTTTTCCTGGAAAACGAAAGCAGACAGTAGCGCGACAATTTCTTCGGGTTCGTATTCCGCCAGGACATTCTCAAGAATCAGCTCTGTCAAGACCAGCTCATCCGATGAGTGGATCTGAGATCCTTGTTAGCACTATGCCTAAACGACGGCCATGAATGTCTTGGGCAACTTACCTCACATGCTACCTTGCCTTTGAGCTGCACTCGCGCCTGCTCATCTACGAAGCCTAGATCCTTCAGAACCTGGATGCGTTGCTCGTAATCAGGGAGCAGCGCGAGGTTCTGGTCGGACATGAGCTGCTTCAACTGCGAGATATTCTCCTTGACCTGCCACTCATCGTGTTGCATTTCGAACTGTTGAGTGTCAGTATATTGCTGTACATTCTGAATTAGAGAAGGCCCTTACGTGTTTCAAGAAGTTTGGACACTGCAGGCATCGGCATGACTGGGCGATCGCCGCTTGTTGCTGACGCTTTTCTAGTATGTCCCTGACCTGCAGCTCCTTAATTCTGGTCCAGTCCATTTCATCCCAGGCTGGTTGTGTCCACGAAGCACAAAACTTCACAAGCTCCTTGTCCGCGAACTTCATTGCCTCTGGTAAGTTGTGATGTTAGTCTGATTTTGCGAGAATGGATCAAGAGCGCGAACCTTTTTTGATGTTCAGGTACCATATCGGGCCACCCAACTTGATCATTGTGTTTGTAATACATTCAAGATCCGTCAATGGTATCTTAGAGGTCTTAAGGGTCATATCTGCGGCACGGGTGGGTAAAGACTGGAACCGATGCCGGAACTCAGGAAGGAATGGAAGAATGTCGCTGGGATGACGCCTGCTGCCGATTCTTCCGATCTCCAGAACCTGTATGGTGGGCGTAGCGCCTCCTCCGATGCCCTCCCGAACAATGATACCCGCCGTACGGAATCCATCCTTTAAATTCGGTCAGTCCCGTTGAAGATGTGGGAATGAGTCTCTGCACTTGCCTTTCTGTACACAATCAGCCGCTTCGGCATAAACAAGCGCTTTCCGACTGGCGAGGAAAGCAATCCCACATGAAGTTCACTAGTCAGCTTCTCATACTCGATGGCTGCGTCATGACAGGCCGCGAGGTCGATGTCACAGATGTCGCAAGGTTCGCGTTTGATCTTCGCTAGGCTGGCCTCGGAGAGCTGGACCTGCTTCTCATGCTCCGGAAGAAGGGCCTGGGTGGCATTCTCACTGAAGCTTCGCTTGATCATCTCTTCAATCTTCAGAGCTTCTACACGCAAAAGATTCAATATCATGTTATACGTGAGCCTGAATTGAGATCGTAGCTTAGTCGGATCGCCCAAGATCATCCGTCTCAGAGCTCCAGCTGGCGGTGCCTCATCTCTTCCAGGGTTCACGATGATCACATAGCCGACTGTGTCAAGACCTCTTCTACCAGCACGTCCGGCCATCTGAGTGTACTCTCCGGGGAGAAGATCCCGAAAACCTTTACCATCATGCTTGCGGAAGCCGGAAAAGACTACTGTACGAGTAGGTAAATTCAGGCCCATAGCAAATGTCTCCGTGGCAAAAAGTACTTTGACCAGTGACTTGGCAAAAAGAATCTCAACTATCTCCTTCATGATGGGTAGGAGACCGCCGTGATGTACGGCAATACCCCGGCTGAGCAAGTCTCGAAGTCTGAGAATTTGCGGGAGGGTCCGGTCTTCTGGTTTGAGTCTGGTAAGAGACTTTTCAATGAACATGTGAATCAAGCTCTTTTCAGCAGCGGTCGTAAAGTCTTGATTAGATAGCGAATCAGCATTCTGTTCGCATCGCTTCTTCGAGAAGACGAAGATGCAACCAGGGAGCAGATTCTCCTTCCGCAGATGCTGAACGAGTTGCACCCAGATAGTCTTGTCCTGCGCAGCTGTAGTCCTTCCACCACCACGTCCTGTGCGGGCAATGTTTCCGGTTCCCCTGTTAGCTGGTTGTCCTCTACCACGAGGGGCGCCTCCGCGCTGCGAGTTGCCTCGAGCACCACCTCTGCCAGGAGCCTGTCCGCGCCCTCTACCCTGCGGCGCGCCACGGCTTGCCTGTGACTGGGCTTGGGCCTCAGCTGCCTTCTGGGCTTTGATCTTATCCCTGCCAGAAATGATTTCATCTGCTTCCTTCCAGCCATTTTCAAGGAAACGCTTGTTGGAATCGACAACTTTATACATCCCTTTCCCTGCCCAGAGATAGTGTTCAAGAGGAACTGGTCTCTTAGGGGTGGAAATGACGTAGATGTCTTTCTTCTTTGTGCGACCGACCCAGGATGCAAATTCATAAGTGTTAGGAACGGTAGCAGACAGCAAGATCAGGGTAACGTGCTCCGGGAGCATGATAATGACTTCTTCCCAAACGACACCTCTCTCAAGGTCATTGACATAATGGACTTCGTCAAAAATCACGAACTCCACATCCCTGATAAGATCCGCTCCGCGGTAAAGCATACTCCGTAGAATCTCGGTAGTCATGATAAGACAGCTTGCTTCAGGATTTATCTGGACATCGCCCGTCAGGATACCTACATCATCGAAGGTGGTCCTGAAATCTCTGAACTTCTGATTACTCAGAGCTTTGATGGGCGAAGTGTAGATGGCTTTGGTCATGTGTTTGGAGGCCAAGGCAATAGCATATTCGGCCACGACTGTCTTGCCAGCCGAAGTGTGTGCAGCAACAAAAACAGAGTCACCGTTCTCCAGATGGTAGACAGCCTCTTTCTGGAAGGTGTCTAATTCGAAAGGCCACTCACGGGCCATATCTGGCACGAGCTCACGGAAGTTCGGGATATCTTTGTTGACATCAACAACATGAGCCCATTCCCTTCCGCTCTTCCTTTGTTGGACACCTGCAAGAAGTGGAGCGTGGGGTTCCAATGCTGGAAATTCAACTGGTAGCAATGAGTCAATATCCTCCTCGTCACTTAGCTCAGCCTCATCGTCGATTTTGACGCCCCCAGCATCGGAAGCCGTTTCATCCTGCTCGACGCGAAGCTCGGTCTCTTCTTGCTGCAAAGCATGTTCCACCTCTTCATCTCCTTGGGCAGCTTCCTTGGACTTTGCTTCATCAAATTTCATTCCACGAGAAAACCCAGGGGCAACCTCTAAGAGACCGCCCTCGGTACCAAAACTGATGATTCGGTCCAGTCCGGACTGCTTGCCACTGGATCTGGAATACTCTGCAACTTGAGGATCCGATTCCATCTCAGCAATCGCCTCGACGCCCTCGAGCCCGCCTGGAGCAAATGGAAAGAACCCTGCTGCACCTCTGACAAAATCCGCACGGCCAGCGGGTCGACGTAGGAGGGACGTCGAGTTCTTTGCATTCGCACTGGTAGCAGGAATAGTGACCTCATGGTAGCCAGTAACACGGCCTTCGAGGCCATCACGATCGAATCGAACGACGGTTCGTGATTGAGTTCCCGCAATGTCGAACAAATCTCCATAGTCCGTGGAAACATCCCACCTCCTGCAAGACGTCAGTGCCAATACCAGCCATCCAAAGCGACACATAAGCTGGAGAGAGTTTGGGGAAATGTTCAGGTCTGCTACATCTCTCGGGCAAACCTAGGAAAATGGGACGTGCAGATGAATAAACAGAATTATCAGACAGACCTTTGGAGGCGATTCAGCCATTCCGAGCCAAAACGGGCCGATGGATTCAGGAACTGTTGTTCCAATTCTTCCTTAAGATCGACGGCATTCTGATGATTCCTCTGTCGCGGTTTGGCCTCTCTGTAGATGCCATTTTCCTCGTCGGCCACGCGGGCATCGAAAGCCGATCCGCTTAGCTCTTTTGAGCTCAGACTCAGTTGAGCCAGAGCATCAGATAAGCTTGCAGCTGCAGCCATGATAACTATAGCAAGAATGAGAAGTCTAGGTCAAACCTGCTCCGGCAGCGAACTGGACACCAGGCGCCGGAAGAGTGTTTGTGGGGGCGCTGTGTATGCGAAGAGGCCAATGGGTGAAGCACCAAAACACAAATTATCGAATCGTGCGGCCTAGGAAACGCCAGCCAGTCAAGCGAGCATTCACAGGAGCGGAAGCAGAACACGTGGATTGTGATTTGAGATGAAGGCTATTAATGAAATCATTCATTATTCACTGGCGGGTGTTTGGCGGCGGCGGCGGCGGCGGCAGGAAATTGAGTGGAAGTTTGGAGTTTGGACAAGCCCAACCAGCTCCGTTCGGGTCTGACGTCGTGTGGGGACTGGGCGGACTGGACTGACCGGACTGGGCCCCTTCCGCCCACTCCTCACCTTGTCCGATCTACGCAGACAGAGGAACGGTGTACGGTTGTATATGATCAAGACCAATGATCTCTCCCAGTAGTTTGCTTAGGGGCTAGGAATCAAGAGACTAACGTCTGTATAATGCATACATCCCCAACCATCTGGTTTAACTACGAGTGGGGCATTAAATTGGACAACATTTTGCATACAACTTCAAATCCTGTCCAAATGCAAAATTATCATCATCCTTTATACATGGAAAGTTGCCATAAGTGGTATCCAGAGCACCACCAAAAACAGATGCAAGGCAATACGTGGGCTCAATAATACAGAATTGACGTTCCTGGGACCAAGACGCAGCTGGAGCGCATGGAAGCACAGACGAGGTAAAGGAGGCATTGAGAGTAAAGACAAGGGGGGGGAAAGTATATGCCTGCCAATCTTGAATCCTGCTGTCAGAGTTATTCCTAAGCCATTCTGTTTCTCACCATTAGAAATTTCACGAAGTATGATTGGGAGGCTCGGAAGTCAAAGCAGCCAGGGGGCAAAAGTGCATCTTAAATAGCATGAGTCCCAAGCACAGTTGTGTTGCTTCCCACACGCTATGTGAGATAGGATACTATGGTGAAACCAATAGCCCGATGGCGGCTTGGAAAGACACAACCTCCTCGTTTACCTGTAATTGATAACAGGGAACGTTTTCCGATCGGTCATGTTGACTAGAAACTCGAAAATGCCATCCACGGTTGCAATGTACCTGTCCGAGTTAGTCGAATCACATTTTTCATGAAACATAGCACCTACAATGTTCTGCCATCTGCACCCCAGCCGATGCCGGCCGTACCGCCGGGTTCTTGGTCTCGATGTCTGAGCCCCGTGCTTCGATCCGGAAGCCCATTCAAAACATTGCGAACCCACCGGGGATGACGATTTTGTTCAGATGCCACCAGCTGGTCGAGGTACCGCCTGTCTTGTTGATTGCTTCGATTGCGTGCTTCGTTCAAATTGTGTCGCTGCCGTCGAAGCCGCTCTGCAGCAACACTTGCTCTAAAGTCGGTCGTTGAGAGACGTGATGGATCATGGCGAGCATCGACTACACCGTTCTGCCTCTCAGGCCGGCTACGCCCTGAGCTGGAATGGTCATGGGCTCGATATCGGGATAATAATTCTGCAGTGGATGAATAGTCAAAATGTGCAGATGGGCGGGCTATCGTCCCACCAGGCCGATTGACAGAGCCGATATCGCTACCAGAACTATCGGGATCGCGCGAGCTTGGATCTGCGATATGTGAAGGGTCTCCTGAAATGGCAGAGTACAGCTCTGACGGGGATGCAGTCCAGCTGAGTGTAATGCTGGGCTGCGGATCCATATTCGACGGACCCGTCTCTAGTGAACGATTACTGGTCTCGGTATGATTATACGTTGGTATATTCGTGGCAGAGCGTCTTGCACTTTGCCTGCGCTCGTGTGCCTCTGCTCGGGCAGAGTATTCCTCTCGCAACAAATCGCCAAGCGTTTCGCCGGGGCGCAGAGGTGACGTAGGACGAGAGGCTCGATTGGCACCATCTGTGGAACCTTGAACCTGTTGACGAGGCCCAGTGGGTGGGTGAGGATAAGCTCTAGCTCGTCGTTCTGTTCGTCCATCACCAGGCCTGGATGTCCATCGCGCTGTGTTCAGATGTTCTACGATCAGCCTTTCTCTTTCTGTGAGGTTCTGCAAAAAAGTCTCACTCAGTAACGGGTTCTCGAAACCTTCTCCTTGGTCGTTTGGGAATCCCTCGACTGAATCTAACATCTCGCGTTGCGCTCCATCAACCTCAAATTCAGAATCAGAATCATCGATGATTGGTTCTGTAAAAACCTCCTCAGTCCCGGGCTCATTCATGTCTAGTTGAATAATCTGACGACGAACGAAGGCCTGGCGTACATCTGCTACACCAGCCCGACCCTTATCTTCAAGCCAGACTAGAAGATCCCAGGGCTCTGGCGCAAATGCTATGCAGCGCACAGCGCCACCGTTGCAGCAAGATGTAGATGAATTGAAATGGCAGATGATCGTGTTTTTGCCGTGCGGCTCATGCGTGATATCTCGAACTGTTCTCACATCGAAGATGGTAATAACCCCAGACTGGGAACCGATTGCACACAGCCGGCTAAACTGGGAGAAGGCGATAGTGAAACAGCAACCATCATCAAATCGCGTGCCGATATCCATCTCTATGCAGCGGATAAGGTCCCAATTCCATCCACAGAGCTTGTCGCCAGTTTCTGTTGTGACAATCGATTCAAGGTCGCGGCTGATCTCATAGAAGTATGCGCGAGTTTCATCACCAACAGCGGCGAGGAGACTCGAGTCTGGAGATATGATCGCATAATTCATACAAGCCGGATGATGGAGAACTTTCAGAACCTTGGACCTGGCCAGGGCGTACACGGTGACAGTTTTATCGTTGTTACTGTCAAATCATCAGCACAGCACTGAGAGAGCAAGTGTCGGATCCGATGATACCTGAGAATTGCCACATCTTCATGTGATAAATCCTTTTCACCACCAGGAAGGCGATGGATGGTGACCGAGTTTACAATGCTGCCTCCAAATGTATGCAGCTGCATTTCCGGCACTTGCCTCCCGCCAGTGTCCCGAGCTGGCCTCGTCGCATCACCATTATTCCTAGGGGACGAGATCCTTGCTGAGGGCTCGAACCCAATCGGAAGAGCACTATCTACATCGGCTGGCTGGCCAGCCGGGGTACTGCCCTGGGTACATGCGCTGTAATCAGGTAGCCTGATGAAGGCACATTCGCCGTTGTCCGATCCTCCAACGGCAACCCAGCCGTGACCTGCAGCCATACATTTTGGATCAAAAGGTATTACGCCGATTGTTTCCCGCTTTTGTGTTGAGATATGAATGGCGTAAACGAACTTATGGGCGACGACGTAAATCCGATCCGGATCGGCGGTGCTTATATAGTTGCGAAGTTGTTGGTGGCTGTACGGCCATCAGCTTAATTCAGCTCTATTGGTTTTGAGCTCGAAGCACAAACAAATTTGGGATCTTGAACGGGAAGAAGCGGCGCTTGGTTGAGAGGACTAGAGACTCGGTTGGATGAAACCTACCCATGCGGTAAAGTGTTAGTCACACGTGTGTGTTGGTACTTTTGAGGGAAGGATAGAGTGAGAATCAACTTACGAAAGCGAATCCGTTGTCATGGTGAAGATAAAGCTGGTCCTTAAGGTGGCATGGTCGGAAGTCCAGCTACACTAGGAGGAGGAACACCGCTGTTGCGGCAATGACGGACAACGCAGAGAGGGAAGATGCGGAGGGTGTGGTGAGAGTAGCGGCGGAAAAAGAACGGTTGGTAGATCTGAAGAAGGTTGGGAACCAAGACTAGTGTTGGTGGTGCGATGGAGAGTGGATATTGAGCCCAGAACATTAGGATCTGGAGCTGGAGCTGATCTGAGTTAAGAGATTGGGGGGGGGCGGAATCACCACCACAACTACCTTCACCTACCACATTCAACTCAACTCAACTCTTATTCACCTGCGGCGGTTCACCTCGCTCGCCATCTCGCCTGGGAACGAAATCGGAGGGTGATGGCGGGTGCGGACGGATGACGTAAGACTTATCCGCTCCCAATCCGGGGAACTTCAGCGGCGAATGCGGTCGAGTCTTGCTCGATTGAAGCCTCGAACCCGCCTCCAGGGCTGGACGCACCCGGGGTTGGATCGACCAGCTCGTCTAAAGATCCGGCAACCCAGCATTGTCACCGTTTCGGAGCAGTCTCACCAGATAACTTAGTTAGTCTTTTCAACTAAGCCTTATGCACGCGGCAGCCTGCATCTTACTTTCAGAGCCTTACCTCTCGCGTGATCTTCCTGTTTGAAAAAAAAAATCACTTCAGGTATAAACCTCGGCTCCCATATGTATTCTTCTTGTACGAATTGAGTCTACAATAGGTAGGCTGTGCATCAATTAACTGACTTGTATCCAAATTTCTACTTCAACGTGGAGATAGTATACTGAGCCGGACTCCGTGCCCTCAAGTAGCCCTGGTATGGTGCCGATGAATATTCATACTGGTAAAATATGGATTTCATCTGTTAGGCACTCGGGGTAGGACCATCACTTTTCGAGAAGCGTTTTCCCAAACACTCGAACTGCAAGCGAACTTAGTGTTCTGAAAGAGCCTATAAATCATTGTGCCAGGTGTGGCATCAGGTATTGACCTTGGTTTTCTGGGCTGCGACATCATACTGCACTGTACGGTACAACACAATGGGCAGAAAAATGCACCATGACAAACTCATCTCGGGTGGAAATCGGTCTACAAAGGATCTACTCATAGCCAAAGGATTTTGACAAGGGAGATACCAGCTGGTTTACAATAGAGGAATAGGCAGTCAAATATTCTAGTGGGGATAGAGAAAGGGTGGAGAACGTTTCTGAAAAATCATTGTCTCCGAAATAACCTAACTCGAAGTGTTTCCACTACGGTAGTTATTCTGTACTCTGACTCATTGATATTGCCTTGCATGCCTCTCAAAATATACATTGAGTGGTATGCCGTCTTCTCGAAAGAAAGCCAACGGTCAATTATCATCAAAAGAGGGAATATCGCAATGTGTCTCAAAGAAAGAGCAATGCACTCCCAGTCAGACGACAATCATACATACCAGGCTTGTGCAAATGGCGAGGAATAACCTACAGATGGATATCGTTACTATGCAGAGGCTGATTTAGTGGCGGCCGCTCATCGGAGCTTTCTTACTTGGAGAACGGGTACTGCCGGCCGGCGGTACTTGCACCTCAAGTTGTTGAATTTTGTTCTGCGACACTGAGCTTGGTAGAAAAGGTCAATACGTAGTTAATAGTCTACATCGGCGTAGTAGGTATTGTACCTAAGTCTCTATTGATGTTTGGAGAGGCAAAAAATCGCCACTAACAACTACGATTGATACTCGTAGCTTCTCGAACTCGACTCACAGGTCCGGCTACGGTCCAGAGCGGTCAGAAGCAGATCTGAGATGTCATTGGACCATTAGCTGCGTTGCTGTGATTCTACCAAGTTCGACGACGGGCCGAAGCTCTCCGGGACGATTTTTACGACGCCTGCCGTCTCCCTTCTTTTACTTTCTTCCTCCCCAGAATCAGTGCAAAAAACTTGTCTTCTTCATCCTACCTCTCCCTTCTCACCTTATCCTACCTATATCCTTATACCTCTATTCATCCTCCTCTCCTATCGATTGAATCGACTGGAGTGCTTCTATACTCCCCTTTCCCTTAATACCTGTATTATCTCTTTCCTTTAATCACATTCACAATGCTGTCCTCTCGCATCTCTCGCGCGGTAGGTTTCCTTTCCCTTCTCGCTCAACATAATATGCGCAGTGAAACCTAACATTGTTCATTCTTCGCAGCTCCCGCGCACTGCTTTCACTCGTGCCCCTGCCTTCAGAGTCCCCGGTGCTTCTATCCGGAGATGGAACTCCACGGAGGGAGGTGAGGAGAAGGTGAAGGGTCAGGTCATCGGTATTGACTTGGGTATGTCGAGAAATATTGAACACGCTTGCAATTTAAGACTCGAAGCTCACGTGCTTGAATAGGTACCACCAACTCCGCTGTTGCTGTCATGGAGGGCAAGACCCCCAAGATCATTGAGAACGCCGAAGGTATGTGAAGAATTTTCTTTGCCGGTTGCCGCCAACTACACTCTTAGGACTGGCGTTGGAAACGCAATACAACCTGAAGTAACCTGCGTCTGACTCATTTCAAAGGTGCCAGAACCACTCCTTCCGTTGTCGCTTTCGCCCAAGATGGTGAGCGCTTGGTCGGTATCGCCGCCAAGCGTCAGGCCGTTGTCAACCCCGAGAACACTCTCTTCGCCACCAAGCGTCTCATCGGCCGCAAGTTCACCGATGCTGAGGTCCAGCGTGATATCAAGGAGGTCCCCTACAAGATCGTCCAGCACACCAACGGTGACGCCTGGGTTCAGGCTCGCGACCAGAAGTACTCTCCTTCCCAGATCGGTGGTTTCGTCCTCAACAAGATGAAGGAGACCGCCGAGAACTACCTCAGCAAGCCCGTTAAGAACGCTGTCGTTACTGTTCCTGCCTACTTCAACGACTCTCAGCGCCAGGCCACCAAGGATGCTGGTCAGATTGCTGGTCTTAACGTTCTCCGTGTCGTTAACGAGCCTACTGCCGCCGCCCTTGCCTACGGCCTCGAGAAGGAGGCTGACCGTGTTGTCGCCGTCTACGATCTCGGTGGTGGTACCTTCGATATCTCCGTTCTGGAGATCCAGAAGGGTGTCTTCGAGGTTAAGTCCACCAACGGTGATACCCACCTCGGTGGTGAGGATTTCGATATCTCCCTTGTCCGTCACATCGTCCAGCAGTTCAAGAAGGACTCTGGTCTCGATCTCTCCGGTGATCGCATGGCTATTCAGCGTATCCGTGAGGCTGCTGAGAAGGCCAAGATCGAACTGTCCTCTTCCCTCCAGACCGAGATCAACCTTCCTTTCATCACTGCTGATGCCAGCGGTGCCAAGCACATCAACCTGAAGATGACCCGCTCCCAGCTCGAGTCTCTGGTTGACCCTCTTATCAGCCGCACCATCGAGCCCGTCCGCAAGGCTCTCAAGGATGCCAACCTCCAGTCCAGCGAGATCCAGGACATCATCCTTGTCGGTGGTATGACCCGTATGCCCAAGGTCACCGAGTCCGTCAAGTCCATGTTCGGCCGTGAGCCCGCCAAGTCCGTCAACCCTGACGAGGCTGTTGCCATTGGTGCTGCCATCCAGGGTGCTGTCCTCGCCGGTGAGGTCACTGACGTTCTTCTCCTCGACGTCACTCCCCTGTCCCTCGGTATCGAGACCCTTGGTGGTGTCTTCACTCGCCTGATCAACCGCAACACCACCATCCCTACCAAGAAGTCCCAGACTTTCTCCACTGCCGCTGATTTCCAGACTGCTGTCGAGATCAAGGTCTTCCAGGGTGAGCGTGAGCTTGTCAAGGACAACAAGCTCCTCGGTAACTTCCAGCTCGTCGGTATCCCCCCTGCCCACCGTGGTGTTCCTCAGATTGAGGTCACCTTCGACATCGACGCCGACTCCATTGTTCACGTCGCTGCCAAGGACAAGTCCACTGGCAAGGACCAGTCCATTACCATCGCCTCTGGCTCCGGTCTCTCCGACTCTGAGATCCAGTCCATGGTTGAGGATGCTGAGAAGTACGGTGCTCAGGACAAGGAGCGCAAGTCCGCCATCGAGGCTGCCAACCGTGCCGACAGCGTTGTGAACGACACTGAGAAGGCCCTCAAGGAGTTCGAGGACCGCCTCGACAAGGCCGAGGCCGAGCAGATCCGCGAGAAGATCGCCTCTCTCCGCGAGTTCATCGCCCAGAACCAGTCCGGTGAGGGTACCGCCACTGCTGAGGAGTTCAAGCAGAAGACCGACGAGCTCCAAAACGCTAGCTTGACCCTCTTCGACAAGATGCACAAGGCCCAGGCTGAGCAGCAGCAGCAGAAGCCCGAGGGTGAGAACAAGGCCTAAATGTTCTACCCTGACTGAAAATCCCGTCTCTTGATGTGGGATATTCTTGTATTATCTCTTTCTCAGTATTCCCTAGAGGTTCTCCCTCTACACTTTTGTTTTCATGCATGATATGTACACATACCGATAGCTTTGATTGATCTTGTTCGGTGTATGGGTGTTCTGCTTTTTACCCTTTCTCCCTTTTTTTCCACTTTGCTATCTACTTGTTGTTCTCTTATCCCCTTTCCTAAACTCCTCTTCGCACTGCTTGGGACGGATCAGCGTTTGTATTTGACGGAGGGCAATCCGTTGGGTCGGATGCATGGAGTGTCTACATTTCTTGTAACTTAATGACATTATGGCTGGGGGACTACAAAAGAAAAGTATGTGGTGTGGGAACGTGTGACAATAGAAGAAGAAATTCTCCTCTCGATTAAACCAGTGTGCATGCTTGATCTTGTGAAGAGTGGTGTAGTCTTCACCCAACAGAAATTATTCTATGAGAAACTATCCTTTGTGTGGTAGACATTCTGGAATCGTTCAGAATCGTTTGTGGGCCGCCGACTGCACGCGTGTCCACAAGTAGTCAGTCCCACCTACGGTATGCTGACCCTCCATCAATACCGACAGACTATCACTATCACTGTAATCTGTTCCCAATTCCTTGAGCAGCGTGTAACTAGGGGCTACTACAAAGTGCGTAGTACAATCTCCGGTGCTAGGCCCAGCAATGATTGAACTAATTAGCTCAGCATACTTACAGTCTTACCGCATCGGCTTCGACGTCTCTTTCAAGATGGACCAACCCGTTGTGATTAATTGGTTCCGCAGACTGAGACAGCCCGAACGCCTCATGCCGGAGATGCTGAAGGCTAGTCTAACCTCTCGATAAGTTAGTCTAGTGTACGTCCCGGGTTGTCAAAGGTCGACGACCCAAAAACTCCTTTTTAAGTATTTTCGCCACGAGGACGGCGCCAACAAAAGAAAGGGAAAGTTTCTGATACTTCCTTTCTCCATCTCACCATTATCGCCAGTTGTGCTCACTACCAACGCAGAGACAATTTGCTGATGACTAGTAACTGGGAGGGTAGGAAAGGGACTACCTCTTACTGACTGACTGTCTGGCGTCAGGGATTGGAAGTTCGGGAACTACACTACACTACACTGATTAGAGGGGGGGTGGTGGGCACCCGCAAGATAGATCAATGCGCTGACTTGCATAAGAACATAACCAAACAAGAAAATCAGATGTTCATTCGTCAGTGGTTGTAAATCTCGAAGGGCCTTTCTCGTTTGATGATGGAAGGACGAGAAAACAACGTTGACTTACAGTAGTAACCTTAGTCGGATCCCATTAGTTGACTGTGCCCTTGGCGGAAAGGCGTGATCCTCCAGTCGGTAGCGCTTATGTTTCCCGTTCTACTGCTCGCAGCCTCACTTTGGTGAAATGCGCTGATGTGTTTGTCGACGACGGGATTGATGTCCATGACTTCTGTGGACAGACAGACAGACAATTCACTGTGGGATTGCATCCGTCTGCACTACTATGCAGTATAATAGGCTGTAGGGTGGAGGAGGTGGACACTATGTAGTGGGTAGCAGTCCTTACATGCAGGCTAAACTTCATTGATTGGACTGGAAATCTCGCGATGATGGAGACTACCTAATTTCTGTGTTCCGAAAGTAAACAAGGGTAGAGAGGTGTACAGCACTGCGGTTCTGAATCGCAAATTGCCACGAATCTACAGAGGGGTTTATGGTTATTGTTATTGTTGTTGACATGCATCGGTTGCACCTAAGTACGGCTGACGGTGGCTGTCTCTGGCCTAAAAGTGAGTAAATTCTGATTGCGCTGGAAGGTTGAGATGGGATGGAGAGGAAGAGGGAGGAGGAGGAGGGAGGAGGGGGGGAACCGGTGGTGGGGAAGGAAGAAAGATCCTTTCTGTGTAGAATTCCATCAATCAAGGATGGACGACAAAGAGGGTGGAAGCAGACTCATTGCTCCATCACTAGTGGAGCGGGATATGCAGGATTGACAGTGCCTTTTTGGACTTATCGATCCAGAGTATTTAATATAGTTCAATGGTCTAACTCAGCAGGCCAGAACATCATCATCCTTGGACATGGACGGGGCATTAGCTTGTTGAGTATGGGGTAAAGGGGACATATATGAAGGGCGGTTAAGCGTCCAAGACGACTGTCTCCTCCTATTAGCTTGTGCGATGATAGTCAACAAGCTCACCACACACCATGATTAGTTGAATTAGAGAAGTTGAATGGTTGAAGTATGTAGGATGATGGATGGGAGACGGGGGACGGGGGACGGGAACCTGTAGCGTTGTACTGTATGTATGTCTGTGTGGACAGTACTTTCTGTCCTTATCGGCAGCATACAGACAGCCTTCAATGATGCAGCCAATCTCCACTGGGAGACTTGCAGTGGTGGTGCCGCAGAGAGGACAAATCAACGCTGTACACAACTGCAGTCGATACATTGGATGGCCGACTGGGAAAATAGACTTGATTTTAGAGTGGGCTCTGGACACGTACACGATGTACTGAGTATTATTGAGAAGAACAATTGAATGTTGTTGCGATCTAAGAGTCTAAGACTAAAGTCTCAGTGACAATATGAGAGAGCGATTTGTTGATGATTCAGCTCGGGCCACACAGTGCTTCATGAAGACAGAAGCCTGTTACTAACAGACAATCCTTATCCGACTGTTACCGACCCAAAAGAAGTCTGGATCGTCTGTTGCGCGCCCCGTTCTTTACCCTGGCTCTGGCTTAGACAAAAAGGGCACTCCTCACGTCCAGCCTAATTCCAGAGCCACTTGGAGCAAGTCTATTTCCTTAGATTGAGGCCTCTACGTCTGGCTGCAAATTTTCTCCTTCATCATTTGTCGATCACTCTGCTAATGTACCTGTTCCAGGAATATTCCAGTTGAGGTTTGGGTCATTCCCCACTTCGTGCCCTCAGTACCCTCATCAGCACAATCGTAGTGCATCCACTTTTCTCCTTTAACACTGGAAGGAAAAGGTACCGCCCACTTTTGGATGGACGGCCTGTCTGTCGATTCCCCGTCGCGCCGTCATTTTTCTTCAGTCTTCAGATGCTAATGCCATTCCTATGCTGTGGGAACGAACGGGCGGAATTGTTGATGACGGGTTACTGTCGCAATCGACAGAGTATCCCGACTGCCATCGCGTTTGGCCATGTGTCAGACATTAAACTTCCACGATATTCTACCTGTCTTCTCAAAACTTGCGTTACAAGATAAATAGTAGATCAGCTGGGCCTCATTGGCTGCCAGCCTCAGGGCTAAAAATAAAAACCAAGGTAGCACTACTGAAGCGATAGAAAGAGAATTTGGAAACTTTGGATGTACCACATATTAATTGTTTTTATTATTATTTCCAGAATTATTATTACGACAACTTGTTTTACATGCTGAATCTCTTTGCAAGTGTTAAAAATGCCTTGGTGATTCATCAGCAACTTACCGAGGCGAAAGCACCCGGAGCCTGCCCAGTGAGGGACCACTTCAACCAGAAAGAGTGCAGTCCTTTTGCCGTTGGGCGTACCTGATTTTTTGGTCCCATTCAATTCTACGATTCCACCTTGTGTGGTTTTTCGGTACTTCACCCGGGGTGCCCTAGTTGTTGTGAAATGGCACATCACATATCAACCCTGGTCTTTGCTCCTGATTCTTCGTCATCTATTTTCTTTTTTCTTTGGTGCTGCTTGTCTGCTTTACGCTAAGCAATCAAGGTGAATACATCTCAGATCCAAGATTAGATTTGGAGAGGGAAGTGGATGATGAATAAGAAGATTTTACGGAATACATTCATAGGATCCTGGGTTGATTTGTGTTTGTCACTAGTGTGACAGTAGTGGGTTTCTCAGCTCGGAGAGAGGGGGGGGAAGAGGGGGGTCCAGGCTAATACAACACATAATGAGTTTTGGCACTGAAGGATTTTGGCACCGGGAAAGAAGGGGAGGTGTAATCATTTTGCCAATTTGACAATTGCGTCTTAGGGCAATTCTCCATGAAGTTCCAATTCTCCTCTCCCTCTTTCCAATGCCTCTGTCATCTCCCAAAGAGAGACTTCACGCCTGACAGCTCCAGTCTGTCTCTTCAAACTGTTAAATTCTCCGAACTATGTGTTGCTGTTATGCCAATGAAGTTTAAGAGTGGTGCATTTTTGTCCTACATCACGCGGAGAACTATGGCCAATATTGTCAATTATTACTAGATCTGACATGGGACCTCACTAGTGCTGTTGCAGGTCCCAGAGTCCCAGACTTCATCCATGGACTTGTTTGTTTCCAACTGACCGTAAAATCAAACTGGCTTTTTTTTGTTCACAGCTCTAGTCTAGTCTAGTCACCACTGACTACTCTTGACTAGTTTTATTAGCTACTAGCGTCCTGACTAGAGCTGTCCCAGCTGACTGGTTTAATTTATTATTGTTGTTATTACTTTTGATTAATATTTCTCCAACTCTGTATCCTCTTCTATTCTTGCGCTTGTTGTTTTCTTTTCAATCAATGTTGTCTGAGCTTGAACCTTCGTTCAATCTCCATCTTTGTTAGAACCTAGGACCCTTTCCATCCTCGATCTATTGTTGACAACCCTTGGTCGTGTTCTTCCTCTTGGATTTCCCCAAGCCATCGACTCTCCTTGCTTGACCGTTGCCACTTGCATCGTCTTGCAACTCTAGTGGGTGACAACGAAACCCCCCACTGAGGAAAATTCACGGGAAAATCCCCAGAAGGTGGAAAGGAAAAAAAGAATTGGAGAGAAAAACGGGCAAGCTGCATCGCGCTAGCAATTTGTTTTTTCCTTTCTGTTCTCGGTTGGTACAGTAGTACTCAAGTACTTACTGTACACTTACTCTACTGCCCTTTGACATTGCTTTGATCATTGCTGCAAGTGTAAAAGAGAGTAAGTAGAGTCAGTCCTTGACACCCTGCTTCCCTTGCCCTCATTGAGTTTCATCATATCACCCGCCGTGCGACTGGTATCTCACATCTACTTCAATCCTACTTACCCTCCTTTCCTCTTGCCCCCCACACCCCCCTCCCTCTGATCCCTCTCACACCTCCCTTCCACCACCCTTGTCGTCCTCCTTCCTGGGTCACGTATTCCCCATTCTTCAAAGAGATAACCCTCCTTGGATATACTTCGGAAATCGGGTCAACTGTCGTTTGCGTTCACCGAGGCGCGCATCTCTTTCGCGGCTGCATCAAACTTCCCAGCAAACTTTTGCATCTGCATGCCAGCAACAAGTAATTGCAAATAACTAATCGTCTGACTGAGCGTCCAGTCCTCCACCATGACAGTTGCAGCGCCTCCCGTGGCACCAGTGCACGAGAATGGGATCAACGGCGGACTCGGTCATCATGTCAATACTATGAGCCTCCCACGTTTCCACCCAATCGCAATGAATCCGGGCCAAGCAATTCCCCCGGAGCATTTGATGCACGGTCACCATCAATTTCGTCCTTTTCCACCACCACCGCCGCCTCCTCCTATGCAGGAACCAGTCCCGCCAGCTCCGGTTTCCGCTCCAGCACCGCCCGCTCATCATCCGCATATTGACCAGATTGAAGCTCGCCTGAGACAACTGGAGCATGAAGAAGCGACTCGTATGGCGGCTCGTAGCCATCTTCTCGCCATGCGCAAGCGAGAGGACGAGGACTTTCGTAGGTTGACGGAGAATGCCGAAGCAGAAGAAGAGGTATGGTTAAGAACAACAGCAGAAAGAAGTGAAAATTGTGTCTTATTATTCTTCCAAAACAACACCATCTGACATGATACCGCATGTGCCTACGGAATAGGAACTGCGTAGGCAACGAAAGCGCCTGAAAAGAGAATCCATGGGCCTCGGGTATAACGCTGGGATGGACTCCCCGCCGCTTCGACCGACGCCGCCTCGTCGGTTGTCGGAGACCAATGCAGCCACTACCCTTGCATTTTTCAAGCAACAAAGCCCCCCGGAGCCTCGTCCCATCCCTCCACCGCCGACACAAGTACCTGCACCCCACGTTCCTCCACCTCCACCTGCGCCTCAGCACATTCACCATGATCCCACCGGCGCTACCTCGATCCGACGAAAGCAGAAGTATACCATTAAGAATGTCGAAGCCTGGGGAGAGCGACACGGGCGCCCCGCCGCGCATGATCCCTCTGGCAGGGCTCTCTGGAAGCGTCCCTCAGACGGTAGTCTGGTGTATTTGACTTGCCCGGTATCCGGCTGTGGGAAGGCCGATTTTGTGACTCTCCATGGATTCATGTGCCATTTGACGAAGAAACACAAGGACCGCAGCCTGGGCAGTCAATCCCGGGCATTGGAAGTATGCGGGCTGGTTTACGACCCCAACGCCCCTCTTCCTCCAGTGGCAAATATCAACCGCGCATCCACGGAAGAGAGCCGGCTTGAGTCCGGCCCCACAGACCATGAAGGCTACCAACAAGACATTGAGTATTCTTCTGCGTCGGATGAGGAGGAAAGCCATGATATCCCAGTGAAGACCGAGTCCACAGATAGGACGTTGCCTGCACCTCCAGTAATGACGATGCCCCCGGTTCCAGATCAACATCAACTACAAGCCCGCCTCAACGGCTCGACGAAACAATCCATCTCATCCATCATTGACCGCGACCCGGAGAGCGACCCCCGCGAGCAGCGGTTAGATACGAACCCCCCTCGTCCGATGGAGATTCCCATGCAAACCTCCCCGGACCATAAACGCCCCTTCAAGGACGAAGCCGAGTTTCCTCGTCCACGTGAGCATGAGAAAGAGAACACTGACCCCAAAGACACGGCCGATACACAGTAATAGCAGTCTTATAATTTTACTAATCATCGTTGCATTGCGGTAGTTGAAGACGCAAGATGTTCCACCTCATTGCCTTGCATCATAGTTTTGAGCATGTTTCCGGCGGTGGTTGCTGCCGTGAGGGATTCTGCGTCACATACCCTTTCCCTCCTTTGTATATGTGGGTGGCCTTCTGCATGTTGTTTCTTACTTAATGTAATAATGTCTTACCTCATATGGCTGGCCCCGAGGGTCTCAATCGATCTGAGCTTACCTTCTTGTCTTTCGTATTCCGATCACGTGCACATAATGGATGCTTATGAATAGTTTCATATTGTTGAGCAACACCTCAACGAGCAAACGCATGTTCCATGCCATAGCGCACGGTGACTGCGTTCGTGCTTTCCTGATATCGATTTTTCAGTGTGATCATCCAAACAAAGTATCATTAGATATGAATTCCTTGATTCCAAAGCCGCGTCACGCAGATTTTTGACACATATACACGCGATTCAGTCATGATAGATCGGTCGAAAGATGAAGCAATTCGGAGGAAGCAGGACACGCAGGAAACTCTCCATTTGCATCTCCCAACCTCATCTGAACTCGACCGACCGACTACACCCTTTATCCCCCCCCAACCCCCCACCAAATCTCAATCACCTGAGAAGCAGAAGATGCACCAAATACCCCGTCCCGGACTTCAACGCCTCCCCAAGCACATCATCACCGACCCGCCAGACGCGAAACACCTTCAACGTCTCCTGCAACCAAGCCTCAAACACCTCCGGCGACCGCTGCTGCTGCGCGATGAGGCAGATCGTCGGCGTTCGGCTCCTCGCCCCATAACTATCTGTGGTATACACCGGCCTCAACCGACCGATGTCGGCGCACGTGCGCACGAACGGCGCCACGAGCGCATCGTTGTAGATACAGTCGCAGGATACCAGGAGATCGAAGCCTCGATCGATTTCTTGTTCCTCGTCGTCGGAACCAGGGTCAGGGTTCTCCAATCCGACGCTGGCCTTCAGCGAGCCTGCGACGTCGGTTTCCCAATCCAGGGAGGTGAAGGTGATGTTTGGTGAGGATGTTGATTGTTGTTGTTGCTGTTGCTGTTTGGGTTTGCTGCGTTTGGGCTGTTGTTGTTGTTGTTGCTGCTGTTGCTGCTGTTTACGAGACTTGGAGGATCTGGTTGAGGTTGAGGGCTGGTGGTTGGTCTCGATGTTTTGACGGAAGAGCCGGTGGACGTATTCCTGGTCTGTCGCGATGTAGTGGTGGACCTTGGGCGCAAGGGTGAGGGCATTCAGCCCGGAGATGCCGCAGCCGAGTTCGACGACGGTGGAGGCGGCGGAGAGGAGGGATTGGGTCCAGAGGGGGTTGGTCGCGGAGGATAGCCATTCGGAGAAGAGCGGGGTGATTTTCCAGAGGACTTGAAGAAGAACCCATGTTAGCATGAAGGGTTTAGGTATAGATATGCATGACGGCAGGTGGTGGACGAACCTGCGCCTGTTGTGCCCCCTGCACGGGTCGAGGAGAGTAACGTGGGCGATTGATGGATGGTGTAGTCCTGGTTGTTGATTGTGAGGTCGACGGTCGTGGCGCGCGAGTCGACGAAGCCTAAGTTGGAGGATGGGATGTCTTGTGCGAAAAGGTAGAAGGCTTCTGTAGTGCATAGTCGGTTTGGATCAATTAATCAGGTTCTAAGAGAGCTGGTGCTGAGGCAGATGACAAGGGGGCTGGCTAGATTGGCTATGTGCATGCAGATGTGTAGGAACCTGGGTCTCTCCCTGGGTCTCCCCTCTTCACATGGCATGGCTGCAGCGTTGATGATCTATGAAGGTTGTTTCTTCTTCTTCTATGTTGCATACGGCACGCATATACTGGCGGCTGCGATCGAAGCAAATGGGATTGTTCGGGACATACCCTCTTCGGCATCTTCTACTTCTTCTCCAAGTAACGACAGGAAACTGGTGATCCGTTCCATTGTTTCAAAGGTTATATTCCTACCAAACAATCGGAGGTACAGAATGGTGGGCTATAGTATGAATTGCGCCAATGGCTGGAATGCTCGGAGATCGGCGATGCAACGGAATCTAGTTATAGAGAAACGGGTCTCGATTAGCTTTGCTTTTTCGAGCAGGAATCAGAGATGGAAGATAGGGAGTATATCGCACTTTCGATTTGGCAATAATCAGCAGCCGATCTGCACGAGCGTGTTTCACTTGATATCAGTGAATCCTCGGCATCTCCCGAAGGATGAAGTTTTGCAGATAGCGGGGGGACATCGCGGAGGATAGTTACATAAGCGGTGCACAAGCCAAAGACATGACATTAACTTAACTTCTCCAGTCTACGTGACCAAACAGTCGACTATAGCCGACGGGCCGTGGGCGTCAGCACTAATGCTCGTCCAGTTACACAAGTATCCCCTGAAAGCTGCTTTTTCCCTGTCATGTCAGTGATCGAATTCTATTCTTCGGCCCACGCGAGATTTTTTCTCCAGTGACATGTGAGTAGACTCAGTACGGAGTAGAGGGACCCTCAAACAATCAGTGCCAAGCTAGAACTTGCGATCTGAAGCCTAAGAGATGCGAATGGCGGGCGACAATCATGTTCTGTTGATTAAGATGGGCCCTGTCGGTAAAAATTGCTCGATGACTTTCCTGTCAGATCTTTAATGACGATGGGGGCGTCATTGTAGGTCATAACATCCGCCATTATATGCGGATGACTCCATAGTTCGTATCCTGGAACAGTTGACAGTCTGGCTGGACTGCTGGAGTCTTGTGGACCGCGGCAATCCTTCAATCCTGCCTAGACATGTACTATGCACTGCTGTACAGTCTGTACCCTGCAAAGTTGAATTTAGCTGGCGACTGGACTGTACCTAACTGTTGTAGCACCTCGTGCACTTTCTGAGCTCCTGACTCTCTTTTGCTCTTCCGTGGCGTCGAATGATTTGTTCGGTTCCAGAACAGATCTCGTAAATGACTGAGAGAGAGCCATGGCGATGAGAAAAAAGTTGTGTGTGCTTTCTCTTAGAGACCAGAGATGATAACAATGACGGTACTCCGTACCATGGGGGCAATCCCAATTTTCTGTCTTTTCTTTTGCCGATTCCCCATTCCAACAATTCGCTCCGTCGGGTTCCGTCATACCCAAGTAGTAGCCGCGAATAAGGACCAGCAAAGAGGGGGGGGGGGCTTGACCATTTTCCCGCCCAGCCACAATAAACTGACTTCATTATTCTGCACGCACTGTCCGGACTAAGTAAGAGAGACAAGATTCAGTCCAGGCTGGCAGCGCGGGAGACCTCTGCGGTAAGTTAACTACGTTACTACCAACTAAGTTACTACCTAGGTAGCTAAGCTAGCTTCACCTATCCTGACCTTTCTTTCCCCTTCTGTTCTCTTTTCCCTTCCCCATCTCATCCCATCTCCCATTCATTCTCTGTCCCTCTCCTTCTCCCCAATTCCCAGCCTTCTCCCCCAATTTTTTGTTTACATTCTTATCTCTGATCCTAAATCTGAATCTGAACAGGAATTTGTTTTCCCATCTACCTCCCTTTCCTCCCTTAGACCGGCAACTTCTTGGAATTGAAGCTTTCTCGGTGTGGAACCGACCCATAGCGGAACTTGCTTACTGTAAGTCGACCTTTGACTTTGTGCTATCCGCAGCCTTCCTCTGGTTCCCCCTCTTTCATGGCGTTTGCCTCTCCATGAACCACCCTCCAAATCGAACCCAAATTCCACCTCGTCGCTGACAGAGAGACCTCCCTCTATTTTCTACAGATCCTCTATTCAGTCCGACCCGCCGAGCGCTGAACCCTCCGTCGCCATGACGAACTTGAAGGAGCTGCGCATTCAACCGCGCATGTACAAGAAACCACCTTTCTCGGTGGAGGTCCCCGGCGTGGAACCTGTCGAAGGAGAGACCATTCCTCGTCGACTGCCTATCGCGAAAGATGGGCTCCTCGAGCGACCGGCCGAGGATGCCGGCACCACCTACGAGATCTTCCGTCGCTCCGCGAGGCTGTACGGAAACTCGAAGGCTGTCGGCACCCGTCGCCTTGTCAAGACCCATGTGGAGAAGAAGAAGGTGAAGAAGATCGTGGACGGTGTGGAAAAGGAGGTCGACAAGGAATGGACCTACTTCGAGATGAGCGGTTATACCTTCCTGACCTTCAACGAGTACGAGAAGTTGGCGCTTGAGCTTGGTAGTGGTTTGCGCAAACTCGGCTTGGAGAAGCCGGATAAAATCCATCTCTACGGCGCAACAAGGTACGCGTGTAACTTTACGGTGCTGGTGGTGATATCATCCGGGTGATGGGAAACGCTAACTGTGGCGGTTTTGACAGTGCACATTGGCTGGCCATGTCACACGGTTCGTTGCGCATGAACGTCTTATTGTTGATGGATCCCTTACTGATTGGATTGTCCTGTTACAGGTGCCGCATCCCAGTCGCTGACGGTTGTTACTGCGTATGACACCCTGGGCGAGGAAGGCTTGAAGCACTCCCTGGTTCAAACGTCTAGTCTCGCCATTTTCTGTGACCCTGGCCTCATCCCTTCGGTGGCTCACGTCCTCAAGGATGTGAAGTCAATCAAGCATGTCATCTACAACACCGATCAGGAAGTTAAGAAGGAAGACCTGGACAAGCTCAAGTCGGAGTTCGATTATCTGAATGTTATCAGCATCGAGGAATTGCGCAAGCTAGGCGAGGAGAACCCCGTGGACCCGGTGCCTCCCAGTCGCGAGGATCTGTGCTGTATCATGTACACTTCCGGTTCAACCGGACCTCCCAAGGGTGTCTCTTTGACCCAGGCTAACGTTGTCTCCGCATGTGAGTCCGCGAATCTATCTATGCTTCTTGCCTGATGTCCGCAGAACTGACCAGAGGATAGGTGCGGGTATTCACGCGATTGTCGGACCCTACATCGGACCCTCTGATTCGCTTTTGACATATCTTCCTCAGGCCCACATCCTCGAATTCATGTTTGAGAACCTTTGCCTATTCTGGGGTGGTACTATGGGCTACGGAAACCCTCGCACTCTTTCGGACACCTCTATGCGTAATTGCAAGGGAGACATTCGCGAACTGAAGCCCACGATTCTGGTTGGTGTGCCCGCGGTGTGGGAGTCGGTTAAGAAGGGTGTTCTCAATAACCTGAACAAGAACAACTTCCTTGTCAGGGGCATGTTCTGGGGAGCCATGTCCGCCAAGAACTTCCTCATGACTGCTGGCTTCCCTGGTGTGGACATGGGTGCTGGAATTCTCGACGCTGTCGTTTTCCGCAAGCTCAAGGAAGCGACCGGTGGCCGCTTGCGCATCATGATGAACGGCGGTGGACCCGTCTCGAAAGATACGCAGAAATTCCTGTCCATGGCTATCGCTCCTATGATCAGCGGCTACGGGTTGACTGAAACGTCGGCAATGGGTGCCCTGAACGATCCTCTGGCCTGGAACCCGGACGCTCTGGGTGAAATTCCGGGTTCGATCGAAATGAAGCTCGTGGACTTCCCCGACGCCGGCTACTTTGCCAAGAACAACCCGCCCCAGGGAGAGATCTACATCCGCGGACCCAGTGTTAGCAGCTGCTATTGGGAGAACGAGGACGAGACGAAGGAAGCATTTACCGAAGACAGGTGGTTCAAGACAGGCGATATTGGCGAGTTCGACAAATATGGTCACATCAAGATTATCGACCGCAAGAAGAACTTGGTCAAGACTCTCAACGGCGAGTACATTGCTTTAGAGAAGCTCGAGTCTGTCTACCGGTCGTCTCCTGTGGTGGGCAACATTTGTGTCTACGCCGCACAGGACCAAGACAAGCCGGTTGCCATCATCGTACCCCTTGAGCCCGCTTTGAAGAAGATCGCCAAGGATAATGGTATCGAGGGCGACAACCTGGAGACCCTGGCACACAATGAGAAGTTGAAGTCGATTGTCCTCAAGCAGCTCCAGGCTGCTGGCCGGGCCGGCGGTCTCAAGGGTATTGAGATCATCAACGGAGTCATTCTCTCCGACGAGGAGTGGACTCCTCAGAACGTAAGCAGAAGCACACCAAAACACTTTTGCACATTTATGCGGTATGACTAACATTCTCTGATTCGAACAGGGCTACATGACTGCCGCTCAGAAGCTTCAGCGCAAGAAGATCCTCAATCGCTTCCAGGCTGATGTCGACCGTGCCTATGGCAAGAAATAGAGAGATTTCATGAGCCACTTTTCTCTGTACTTCAATTCTTATGTGCTTTCCTATTTTTTTTTTTCTTTCTTTTTTGTTTCCTTGTGTACTTCTCTAAACGGATATCCGCGCTGGTTGTCGTGATGCTGCATTGTCACTCGCCCCATCGCATGTTGTCTATCTGGCTTGCTTTAATTGAATGATCTTATCTGTGATTTCCCGACGTGATATGTGTATATGTGATGGTCTACATTATCTCTCCTCCTCAACATGTATTCGGCGTATCACATTGCTCTTTCCTACAAAATTCTTTTAGGTTCTATCTCTCTACTAGTCATTTTCGGCTTGTTCTTTTACATGGTCTAGGAAAAGTAGGCGAGGCTACTGGATAAATGGAACAGTCCGGTTTCTGCTCGTTCCGATCGTATAAACATTGGTGCATGAGCCAGTCAGTGATGTCGAGGCAATAAGACCTCGCGCGACATCAGTGCTGTGTGTATTGTGCTGTCGCACTGCCTCGGTAGGACTCTCCGCTCATTCCAATTATGTTGACTCTTCCGTACAGAGCCATCCAGCACAAAATCTCGGCTCTATACTGAGTCGACCCTCAAAACTCCATAAGAGAGTGAAATCTGCATCCCAAAGTGTCATGAAAACGGTAGTTAACGTCGACGTGGCTATGTACCGAGTCCGTATAGCTACGACGAAAGAGTAGGTACTATAGCACTAAGCCCAATAAAGCCTAGCGCAATTCCAACCCAAAAGAGGGCAAGATCCTCCTGCCAGGCCAGACCCG